CGGGCCTGGCATTCCGGCCTGGGTGCAGGCAGCCTCTCCGTCACAGTGGGTGACGGCTCCACACACCCTAACCTCCCGCCCTCCTGTCCAGGGCGGGAGAAGCCGGCCGCTCACAGCAGAGCACCTGGCCCGGGCCCTGTGCTGTCCGGCGTGGACCCCGACGAGCTCTCCGAGGGAAACTTGGAGGTGGGGTTTCGGCCTCAGAAGTTGGAAAAAGCGGAGAGGGAGCCGCAGCCTGAGGCAGAAGAGGACGGGCAGCAGGCAGGAGGCCCCGAGCCAGCCAGGAGGGCCCCGGGCTCGGAGGGAGTGGCGCGGCTGGCCAGGCTTGAGGAGGGCGGCCCCGCCTCCACCCCCGGCCCCGCCGAGTTCCAGACCTGCAGCCCGGGCTGGAGCAGCGCCTTCTACGAGGCCGACTGCTTTGGTGCCGATGTCCACGGCTACGTGGAAGAGCTGGGGCTGTGCACGGCCGCCGGGGCCCCCGACACCCCAAGTCCGGTGAGTGCTAGACCTCCGTCCACTGCTGTGGGGCGGGGGGCAAGGCCCATGTTCAATCAGGTGCTCCGGGTCACTCGTGTGACAGTCTGTCCCTGCGTCTCCCACCCCCACCCGCCCCAGTGACCACGCCAGTCTGGGCGCCCACCCCACACACCCTTTGATGGGAAGTGATGCTCATCTGCACGTGCCCCCCCACGTCGGGGCAGGAAGTGGCTTCTGTCCTTGTTAGCGGAGCATGTGTCGGGAGGTCGCCTGTCCCCGCGAGCTCGGTCAGGTGGCGGTGGCTCTGACTGTGGCAGCAGCAGGTGCCGCACCCTCGGCCCAGTCAGCCCTCCAGGCTTCTGTCCCTGGGGCAGCATCACTGAGATGAGAGGAGACCCCCATAAGCACCTGCCCATGGCAGGCAACTCAGTGGGGGTGTCTGTGGCGGGCCACCCAGGCGGCAGGCGCTCCCACCCGGGCCTCAGCTGCCAAGGTCCAGACCCCCCGGCTAGCAGACAGGAGGGACCCCCTCCGCGGTCAGGCGCCCTGCTCCTGGCGCCCCTACCGGCCCGTTTCACCTCTGGCCTCTAAGTCACAAGCCACAGGAAAGCCGCATCCCCCAGCCCTCCCAGCACTGCCTGGGTCTTTCCCGGTGCTTCTGTTGTTCACCTCCCAGCACCGTCTGAGCTTCACTTTATAACTCAGCCCCAAGCCAGAAAGAGCCCGGCACCTGCCGTGTGTTGGTGCTGGCACACATGGGGACGGGCCATGCACTTGGGAATCACACCGTTTCTTCTGGGTTGCGTTGAAGGCTGGGTGCCCTGCATGTGTGATTGCAGGTACCCAGACCTCGGGTCGTGCACGGGGGACGACTCGGGCCTCCCGTGGGGTCCTGGTGAGGAGGTGGCCTGGCCTGTGTGTACAGGGCCCAGGGCACAGAGCACCTGAGGCCACGTGGAAGCTGAATGCCGCAGGTTAGAGCCTGGCGCTCAGCCCGGACACGTCCTCCCACTCCTGACTGGAGTGCACTGTGCATAAGGAAGCCCTTGGAACTGTAAATGTCCTCGTCCCCAGCAGCGCTCAGCTCCCCACCTGCGGTGGCCTTTCCCAAGAGTATAAAACAAACCAACTCTGAGCGGCAGCGTGACACTTCGTCCTCCCTCCATCAGGGGAGCTGAGGGTCCCAGGCCTGCACCGCTGGGCGAGGCCACAGTGGGGCACCGTGATGGGGCCACCACTCATGACAACCCAGGCGGGTGCAGGCCTGGTGACCGAGTGTGGAACAGGTCCTCCCAGACTGGGCCGTCCCGACGCTGGAGGACCAGAGGAGCCCGTGGACGGTGACGTTTGCTGTGAGGTGGAGACAGAAGGGGGTGGAGGACAAAACAGTTTCCCTAACTGCACACCCACGCATGTCAGCTGACAGGGCCCAGACCTGGGTCTCTAACCCCATCCCCCAGTCACAGGGGCCAGGGGCCCTGGAGAAAAGCTGACCCTGGGACCGGGGCACAAAAATACAAGCGGAGCTGGGAGCCTCTGTAGTGCCAGAAAGTGAGGAAATGGTCAAAAACACCGTGACGGATATGTCAGAGGTCACGGGAACCAACTGAAGAGCTCCCGTGGGCCATGTGGCACTGCCTGACCAGCAGGACTGGCTTCTAACAAAATATGAAATGAATGTCCCCACACGCATGTGGTACAGATGGCTGAATTTAAAAGGGCCGTTTTTGACAGAACAAGGAAAACCCATCCTAAAATTCACATGGACTCTCAAGGGACCCATGTAACCTAAACAACCATGAACACGAATAATGGAGGTGGGGACTCCCACTTCCTGATTTCAACACCACAGAGCTGCTGAGACCAAACCGGCGTGGCCTGGCTAAGGACAGGCAGACCGTGGGATGGAGCAGAGCGCCCAGAAAGGAGGCCTCCCTGACCCGCCCACACGAGTGGTGACAAGGGCCCTGAGACCATTCAATGGGGAAAGGACAGTCCTTGCAACAAATGGTGCTGGGACATCCACGTGCAAAAGAAGGAAGCTGGACTTGTCCCTTAGACCAGATGCAAAAGTTAACTAAAAAATCAAGGACTTAAACAAGCTAAAAATATAAAACGCTTAGGAGAAAACGGGGAACACGTCACGACATTGGGTTGGTCAATGATTTCTTGGACATGACACCAAAAGCACAGGCAACAAATGTAAAAATAAGTAAATTGCACTTGATTGAAATTAAAAGCTTTTGTAAATCAAAGGAAACTATCAACAGAGTGAAAAGGAATCTCACAGAATGGAAGAAAATGTTTGCAAGTCATGTACTTGGTAAGAGTTTAATACAGAATACACTAAGAACTCCAAAACTCAACAACAAAACAGACAACCCAGTGAAAAAGTGAGCAAAGGACTTGGATAGACATTTCTCCAAAGGAAATACACAAATGGCCAATAAGCCCATGAAAGGACACCCAACATCCTTAGTCATCCGGAAAAACCACAGTGAGACACCACCTCACACCCACTAGGGTGGCTATTATAAAAATGTTACATTTAAAGGGCCGGCCGAGTGGCGCATTGGTTAGGAGTTGGCTTGGGACGCCAGCTCTGAGCAGCAGGGCCCCGGTTTGGATCCCACATGAGGGCCAGTGACACTGCCCTCTACAACTAAGGTGGTGAACAACAACTCGACCTGGAGCTGGGCTGCCGTGAGTG